AGTTGAGCATAAGGAGAAAGAAAGAGACTTTGTGGGTTAGTAGAGGAAGGTGGTGGATTGATAAAGGGATTGTAGCAGGGTTTATTGGGAAACTCCAGTGAATGGCCTATTTGAAATGTATGTTCCAGGATTCAAGATGACACCAACTTTGTCTCACAGGTGTGATAACACTAGAAAGCTGGATTTAATCTGCATTATGGAGAATGAGGGGATTCAAGACTGATGGAATCCTTATCACCATAACTATAATCCTGGTCATCATAAATTATTCATTATCTGTGATGCACATGACACCAGGCTCAGTGCTTAAAAAGAAATTATCGGGGCGTGAAGGGATGGGGGAAGGGCAAGGGGAGCGGAAGGAGGGAGGACAGGGGAATCTGTGGCTGATATGTAAAATTAAATTAAATTATAAAATAAAAAAGAAATTATCTGCAATCTTTGTAACAGGTTCTCGTTAAAAGTATTGTTATCTATTTTATATGAATGAGTGCTTTGCCTGCATGTTTATGGGGCCTTGGATCTCCTGGAACGGGAATTACAGATGGGTGTGAGCTGCCATATGGTACTGGGAATCGAACCTTGGTCCTCTGGAAGAGCAGCCAATGCTCTTAACCACTGAGCCAGGCATCTCTCTAGCCCCACAGTACACTCTTAATGATAGGCATTGTTATCTCCATTTCACAGGTGAGGGAATGAAGACCTAATGCAATTCAGGAGCTTACAAAAGCTGCATTTGTCTAGTATACATAATAGCTGCAAAATATCAGTGAGACATTTCCCACATCTTAAATTGGTAATGATGACAGCAGTATTATTCATTTTGGCTTCTCATCCATGGCCATTAGAAATAGAACAGGAGAAAAGGGACACATGACCATCAGAGTCTGCTATGAAAATATCCTCCCACAGCTGCTACACACACACACACACACACACACACACACACACACACACACACACACACCAGCAATCCAACAATCGATATTAGGGCAACTATGACTTGCTAATTCAAATGCTTATCTGTTGATACAAATCTTTGAAAATGCAGAGTAACCTGCTTCTTTTTGTTTGAGTCAAGCACAAACAATAACTCTAAGAGCTCTGAAATGCTGAAATATTTTATAACCTCAAAGATTTTGCAGCTCTTTCTCTTATTCACTATGGGGGTGATTTTGCCTTTAGGGTTCAAGACTCTCCGCTCCAAGTATAAAAAGAAACAATTCAGTAGGACTTCGGCAGAGAGCAGGTCCTAAAGCCATGTGGACCACAGAACCTACACTGCTCTTCGTAATACATCAACATTCCTCTTATTAAGTGCCACTTCCAGAAACTATACTGTACCCTTGACTTGACTCAAGAAAAAAGAAGTATTTAGTTATTCCTAAATTATGGGAAAAGCAGAGCTGTGTCGAATGACTTCAGCCTAGAACAGAAGAGAATGACCATGAGAGCAGCATCGTCTACCCTGCAGTTCTGCCTTCTTCCTTCTATGCAATAAATCGCATCCTGTCAAGCTCAAGCCTTCAGTAGGTTTCACCGCCAACTGTAACACGTCTTAAAAGGTCTTATTAATAAAAACAAACCCGGAGCCAGGTATTGGGGTGAATGTTGGAAGATCAGAGAAGTAGAACCAGCCACAGCTTCCTCACCTTGCAAATTCCTCAGCTAATCTTGTTTCCTCAAACTGGAAGCCTCTGAGTCCTCACCCGAATGGATCTCAGCTGAACTGCTGCTAAAAAGCCTAAAAGCTTAAAACAGGCTCTAGTTCTTGGTTCTCACGCCTTTAATACCTTTCTGCTTCCTGCCATCACTTCCTGGGATTAAAGGCGTGTATCTTTCCCAACCAAGACATGAGATCTCAAGTGCTGGGATTAAAGGTGTGTGCCACCGTTTTCTGGCTTCTATGTCTATCTAGTGGCTGTTCTATTCTCTGACCCCAGATAAATTTATTAGGGTTCACAATATATTGGGGAACACAATATCACCATAGCCAACCATGATCTGTTTTTAAGTTTGGAAAGTTTTAGGTTGGAACCTGTGAGTTTTCCTGGGATGAAGTGTTGTGAGTTACTATAGAAGCCTGAAGAATGGTTAGGAGAAATCAGAAGGGGGGCGGGGGCAGGGGAGAAAAAGAAGAAGGAGGAGGAGGAGGAAGAAGAGTAAGAAGGAGGAAGGGAAGGGGGAGGAGGGGAGGGGAAGGAGGAGGGGGGGAGAGGAGGAGGAGGGAGAAGCTGCAGCAGCAGCAGCAGCCTGGAAGGACTTCCTGAAACTCAGATGGAAAAGCTGCCATGCACCCTGCTGTGCAGGCCAGCTAGGAAGGCCACCCCTGTGGGGTCCCTGAGTCCCTGTTGTTGCCTCACCACACCATCAAGATACAAAGTGACCTGAGTGCTTGATGTGCAAGGGGAGGGGTGAAGGGCCAGTGCTTGCGCGATTCCTCTTCTCAGGACCCGTGTCACACACTCCATGGTTTAACCGTGGTAAAGTTTTCTCTAAAATACTCTTCCCGTACCTATTATACAAATGTGTCCGCCTCCCTCTCTAGCCCACAAACGTCACTGAAATTAAGTTCTAAGGCTCCTATCAATCTCTCCCTTTTTTTATTTCACTGATAAAACTCAATGACAAACGCCATTTCACAAAATTTGGAGACACGATGTAATAGTTGATATAAACTCACAATGTCAGAGACAGAATTTATAGCATTCCAGGAATATTCAATTTCCCATCCCTCATAAACGCGTGCACGCACGCACGCACGCACGCATGCGCACACACACACACACCCACACACACCATCCCTCATTATCTTTAGTACCTGAATATAATCTACTTCTGAAAACAGCAAATTTTCAGTTAACAAGAATCTATATTCTGCTGCTCTCTCTCTCTCTCTCTCTCTCTCTCTCTCTATATATATATATATATATATATATATATATATATATATATATTCCAAGCCCATCAAAACCCTCCAAACAATTTTGTCAAATACCATCAAAATAATCTTCAACCACTTTATAACAAGCACCAAGAATTTTGGTGTGACACAAAGCTTGAAAAATACCAATTACTTAATTATTAAACTCTTAATGACCTCATTAGTATGCGTGCTTGTATGCTGTACAAATGGAGACTGCACATTAACAAATGCAAACACATTTTCTGCCTACACTAGAGAAAATAGGTGCCATAATGCAAATATAAACCAGGGAACTAACAAAATAAATGTGAATGGGCCCTGAGCAGGTGGGTGACTAGGGGTTCTGTAGAGACCTCCCACAACCCTGAATGTGTAGACACCCGGGAATGGGTGGGGAAATGACAGCAGACGTGCAAGACCTGCCCAGATGCCCGCTCCTGTTGGAGCAAGTGCAGTAAGCCTACCAGGATCTACCCAGCCTCTCACTGGAAGTCAAAAAATTTCCTAGCACTTGTTTGCAACTTCCATGTGAGTTTTTAATTTTTAATTTTGATAATGAATTGTGATAGTGAGTGAATGTCTCCATGTTGTAAGTGATGACAATGAATATTCATGTTGAGATGGACAGAGAGCAAAAGATGTCACACATGTACATATATATATATGTATCTGCCTGTATATAGATAGATAGATGATAGATAGATAGATAGATAGATAGATAGATAGATAGATAGATAGATAGATAGATAGATAATGGAGAAAGATACATGTACACACACACCCATATATACACACATATATACGCACACATACCCTCATATATACATACACATATACACTGTTATGCACATATACACATTTATACACCCATATATACATGCAATCCTGGACACATTACAAGAGAAATTACTTCTTAGGTGTTAGTACTGGGGATTAAACTCAGGGTCTTGTGTATGTTAGACAAGCACACTACAACTGACATACATTCTTAACAGAAATCACTTTTCTCATTCCTATTTACTGATACAAATTTCTATTTTAAAAGAGTAAGTATCCCATTATAAGCAAATTAATAAATTACCATTTTCTATCACTGTTCTATAAACAAACTTAAGTTGCTTATAGAAGTTCATTATTAAATGTTTTGCATTATATAAATCTTACTGAAAATTTGCAATTATTTTAGAAGTTTTGGGGGCCTGCAGAGATGGCTCAGCAATTCAGAGTGTGAACAGCTTCCACAGAAGATCCAGGTTCAATCCCCAGCACCCACATTGGTCTGTTCACTATTGCCTGTAAGTCTGGCTCCAGAGCATCTAGCTCCTCCATCTGGCCTTCACGGCTCCTGTACACACAGATGAACACACATACACATAAATAAAAGTAAACATTTTTGAAATTTTGAGAGTAGGAATGTAAAGTCACTGACTTTAAACATGTCAAAACATTTCATTTATTTTGCCAAACAATCTCTTGGAAAGATAGACTGATAAGAATATAGTCCCTGAAGTGCCAGAATAAGAGATTCATCTCAAACCCTTTCCAAAAATGAGCATTATCTTAAAGTAGTTAATAAAATTTATCCAATTTGGTGACACTCTAGGTAAACATTTTATTTCTTTCATTACTATTTTGCCTGCCCCCTCCTCTCTGAGACAGTCTCATGTATACCAGGCTGGTTCTCACTCACTGTGTAGCAAAAGATGATCTTTAATTCCCAACCTTGCTGCCTTCATCTCCCAAGAGTTGGGATTATGGCTGTGCACCACCACTCCCAGTTTGTGAAGTATTTCATGCATGCTGGGCAGGCACACTACCAACTGAACTGCATCTCCAGCCCAATTTTAATAACTTATTTATTGTTTATTTCTATGTATTGATTTTTTATACTTCTAACTTTTTTTTTTTTTTTTTTTTTTGGTTTTTCGAG